GCCGGCGCTGAGCCCGGAGGATGTCCGCCCGGCCCGGGGCGACCCCCGCCTCGCCGCCCGCCGCCCGCGGAGCTCCGGTGAAGGAGCAGATCAGGGTCATCGTGCAGGACCTGGAGCTGGTGCTGGGCGACCTGAAGGACGTGGCCAGGGAGCTCAAGGAGGTGAGCGGCGCGGGGAGCGCAGGGCCGGGCCGGGCCGGGTGTATGGGCGACTACGAACTCTGGAACCGCCGTGCGCGCGGGCGGCGGGGCCCGAGCGGACGGCGTCGCACTTTCCTTTCTTCCTGGGAGAGCTCAACTAGTGTCCCGGCCGCGCGTGGGGTGCGGCGCGTGCGGTGTGGTATCGCGTGGGGCCCGGGCGGGCAGGGGGCGCTCGGCGCAGCCCCGCGGGGTGGGGACGCGCCCGGAGGAGGGGCGGTACCTCACCAGGGTCTGCGCCGGGCAGTTCGGGGCAGGGCGTCCCCGACCGCACCCCACGCGGTGTCTCTGTCGTGCGGTCTGGAGGCCTTGGCACCGAAACCGGAGCAGGGCTCCAGAGCGAGCGAGTGTGAGCTTGTGTGCTCGCCTGTTAGTGTTGTGATTGCGTTGCGCACGCTGCGGTTCTGCCCCACTTCCCCGTTCTAGACTCGGGACCCTTAGGTTGGGGTTCCCTTCCCTGCCCAGTTCATCCCTCGCCCCTGGATCCAGGCTGCAGAAGCGGCGCGGGGATCCGGCTGGGTGGCGGGGTCCTGAGCCGTCTGCCCTGCTGGGGCGCGGGCGGGGTCCTGCTCCGGTCTAATCCGGTCCGCCCTGGACGGGTGCAGGCGGACGCGATATCCTCGTAGCGGGGAGAAGGGTACCGCGTCCTGAGAGTAAATCGGGTGGCGCCCAGTCCCCAAGCCAGGGCAGGGGAGCGGACGGCCCCCAGGCGGCTGTGCGGCTCAGGCCAGTGTGCGGCCCGCGCTCTCCGGGCCCGGGCTGTGGGTCATTACAGGCTCGGGTCTGAAGCGCCCCTCGCGGCCCAGGGGCCCAGTGGCTCGTAGGAGGCGGAGCCGGCGCTGCGCGGAACCTGCTCAGCCCGGTCCCCGCGGGGCGTCGCTGTCTGAGATCGGCGGAGGGGCTGCGCTGAGTCCAACGTGCCGTTACTGTTCCGTCTTCGCTGTCTTCTTTGGTACGTGTGGCAGATGTGTGTTCTTTGGCAACCGAGTGAAGAAGTGCGCCTCCGGGGTCCGTCGCCTGGGCCCAGCTGTGCGCTGCGCCACCGCGGAGTCGCCCAGGTGGGAAGTCGCGAGCGCGGGAGCCGGGAGCACTGTCCCCCGGCGGGGCATGAGTGGAGGTCTTCTCTGAATTAGGAATCTGTGATCCAGTCTTGTTCAGGGTGTGTGCTAGTCACTGTTTAAACAGAATAAATGGCAAGCACCTATGTACGATGACTGTTTTGCTTTGTATCATCTGTAGAGGTTGGAGAACACATTGATCTACCTGGAAACTTTAACCTCCCTCTGCTTCCTGGACAAAGACGTAATTCAGAGTTTGCTGATCTCTCCATTGTTTACTTGAAGATCTTTAAGAGAAGAGTATAGTTCATAAAGGAATAGAAAAACATAGGTAATGCAAAACTAGTAGATGAAGAGATCTAACAGACCGAGAGATAACATTTTCATTTTGGAAGTTTTGATTGATTTTCACAGCCTTGCTGACTAAAAATCTCAGCATGAAACTGAAATTTATGAATGATAAATGATATCATGTGATCACCACTTACTTGTGTCAATATCTATACGGGTTTGAACATAGAAGTGTATATACTATGACCAAATCTCAGATCCTTAGCTATTTATATAGTACGAATGGGAGTTATGTGGAGAGCAAAATATTTATAGGGCATGTGTAACCTGTGACAATTTGCAGTTGTTCATCAAGTATCTTTTTCGGACGACTGCACGTGTGACAGAACATGCCTTTCAAATAGTTCTGAGGAAAGGACTAACTGTAAACTTTGTAAATTGCAGTTTGTTGGTTTCTATGCCTATGATTTATAAATATAAAAGTACTATTAATTTATCAATGGTTACATTTAATATTTTGACAGTTTATATAATGGTACATATGTATATATAAAAGAAAAGGTTCTATTTAGTATTTTTGTTTTATTGACCATGTTACGCTTTTTGATCATATGGTACAATGTAGCAGTGAGTTCTAACTTAATTAATCTAAATGAAAAATTAAAGAGATTATGACTGGATCATTATATCAGTCATATGGTATTTGTTTTTCTTTACATACTCTATGCAATTTTGTGTTGGTTTTGCAGTACCAGGGATCCTTGGGACCTTGCATTTGCCAGGCAGGCGCTTACGCCGCCGAGCTATCGCCCCAGCCCTACTCTATGCAATTCAAGGAAATTCTGTCCTTTATCTCTACACACATTGCATCAAAATATTGACCATTTCATTGAGGTTTTTTTTTCTTTCTTTTTTTTTTTTTTTTTTGGCGGAACCAGGGATTCAACTCAGACCCTTGCGCTTGCCAGGGAAGCACTTATTCCACTGAGCCATCTCCCTGGCCCCTAAGGTGAACTCTTTTTTTTTTTTTTTGGCAGAACCGGGGATTGAACTCAGGCCCTTGTGCTTGCCAGGGAATCGCTTACTCCACTGAGCCATCTCCCCAGCCCCCTCATTGAGGTTTTTTAAAGTTCTTTTATTCTGATGTTAGTCATCTGAATTTAAATAGCAAGATAGAATTGAGCATATTAGTAACTATTTAAAATACTTTAATACTTAATCACCAAACTCCAATCTACTCATAAGAATTGTTATTATAAATGTTATTATGAATTTCAATTTAATGATTAGTTTTTAAATCATAATTACTCAATCAGTTATAATTGAATTGTATATTGGAAGAAGGGAAATGGACTGTAGGACAGTTTTATTCTGTTCTTTTGAGTAAAACCTCAAATAATTTTAGTTTTCACAAATAAGTCATTTTGTCTTCTCTGCTATAGTGAAAAAGTCTTAAACACAATTCAATATCTTTATTCAGCACCTACCATATTTCAAGTATTATATAATTTAAGCTGAATATATTACAGTTATAGTTTAGTAAACCAAAAAGTTTATTTTAGGATATATTAATTCTGTCTTTTAACTTCAGCAATATAAAAAGTCATCACAGACTGTAGTGGTGAATTTTATTACTCCATACAATGTTTTACTTCCCCAAGCTTAAAGAAGGAATGCAGAGCTGAGAATAATAATTAGTAAGCATTCAGGTATGTCTGTACTTGTCATCTACTTAGTAAAGTGATGTTCCTTTGGTGAAAAATGTAGAAACGGAAGAGGACAATGTGATATTAAATCTAAGGGACTTACAAGTTATTCGGGTTGTCATGGTTAATATGAATGGATTGATGCCATACACAAACGATCACATATTCTAATGGCACACAAGCTTAAGAACCATGTGATTTTTCTCTCACATGAAAAATTCAAAGCATAAAAGTAAAGAGCAAAGTAAAAGACAGAGTAAAAAGAAGCAAGAAAATAGGTCTTTTGCAAATGAGAAAGGGACCAAAGAGATGGAGGTTCATGGTGGTGAAGATGACTTCAGAGAATTGAGATGTGCTGTGTACATTCACCTGTTACCCACTAAGTGATCGGACTCTGGGTTGACGAGTATGTTAGCATTATGCCTGTGAATTGAAAAGCACTGGTGATTTTTCTTACCATGTCATAAAAATAAGTTAAACTTGCTTAATTCTGAAAGATTTGACAAACCATAGAAAACAGTCTGGTTTGAGCCCGATGAATATAGAAATAACAATTATCTGCAAAACATTTTTGCTTTTAATGTTTCTTCTTAATGATTTATCCACTTGAATTTCTGTAGTTTATTGCTCTGGGAAATCTTACAGAGACTTTTTGGTTAATGAGTCCATGCATATAAAACTCATTACTAGAACAAATTATAGAAAATAATCTCTGGAGTATTTTCCATGTTCTAAAGTTATGAATGAATGGAATTTACAGTTCATTTAATAGTAGGAATAGCTGTGCTTTCATCACTTTATATACCGGTCAGAGTAGGGTGTATTTATCAAATGCTAAAATGTTTTACAATTTTTTCTGTTTAAAGCAGGATGAATAGTTACATTACTGAATGAAAATGATGCTTAGAAAATAGAGTAAACATTCCTCACTCCTTTCTTTGGGATGAATTAAGCTATTCGACACAGATAATTAGTTGATAAGAAACCCAAGTTGCTTTCAGGTGTTAGTTTACTTCAGGCAATAGTGAAATAAAGGATAATAAAATCAGTGTAATAGGTTTCATTGTTACCTGAATTCTGTTTATTTTTTTTCCCCTTCATTGCTGCTCTGAGAATCTCAGGTATTTAAATCTAAATGTAGGAAAAGAAACAGAAATGCTAGTTTGAATTGAACATATTTACCTAAACAAAATAAGCTATAGAATCCTCCATAGAGTCAGCTTATGAAAAATTTCACGGGCAGTTTCTGAGAATTAAGTGATAAAATTCCAGTATGTTTCTGATTCAGATATGATTGAAATATATGTAACTGATATTAAGCTGCAAATGCAAGATTAATACATAACAAAGAGTATTATGTCTTTAAGGAACAAGTTTTTTTTCTGATTTCAGAAATAATACAGCATATGTGTACTATGGAAAGTCTGGGAAAATTTTTAAAAGTGAGAAAATAAAATTTTTAATACTATACAAAAGTAGTATTAGTAGCACAGAAGTAGCACAGAAATAAACATTTTATTATATTTTCAGTCTTTTTGTATGAATATTTAACAAAGGTAAAGTTTATGAATTATATACAGTGTATTTTCTGCAAATGAGAAAAGGACCAAAGAGATGGAGGTTGATGATGGTGAAGGCAACTTGTAAAGACAAAACAAGTTTTCAAACAAAAATTGATCATGACCACTATAAATTAGTTGCATATTATTTTGTACTTCCCTTAATGCTGGTTATTTCACTTACTTCTAATTTTTATGGTTATTTAAATATCCCTAGAAAGAACAGCGTTTGCAATAAACACAGCTCACAGATCTTGTTTTCTGCCAGACACTCTTTCAGGTTTATTTATTTATTTATTTATTTATTGTGGAACTGGGGTTTGAACTCAGGCCCTTGCACTTGCCAGGCA